TGCCCAGGGAAGTGGTGGAGTCACCATCCCTGGAGGTATTTAAAAGACGCGTAGATGTGGTGCTTAGGGACATGGTTTAGTGGTGGACTTGGCAGTGCTAGGTTAGCGGTTGGACTCGATGATCTTAAAGGTCTTTTCCAGCCTAAACGGTTTTATGATTCTATGATACTAAATAATAATAAAAATGGCTTTAGTGCTTGTGGAACACAGTCATCCAGTGAAAACTGTGAATCTAATTTTACTCCTGCTTGCAAACGTGATGAACAGTTGATGGAGACTTGCCGCTTCTCTGTTTTTTTGGCATGAAATCTCTGCCAGGTCTCATTCATTTGTGCCCTTTGTCTGCCAGTCATTATTGAAGATACCACACCATTTTTTTTTTTGATCTAAAAAGTGAATAAGAAAGCCAAGGTATTATCAGCATACTTAGCTATGTAAGATAAATAGTATAAAGTAAATCCTTGCAAAGCATATAATAGTATCTGATGGTTAGAAGAGCAATTGCTTGACATTAGTTTGGGGAATTTCTTGGAGTTGTAAAAGGAACCATTTAGGTGTAGTGACTCATTTCTGAGGTCTGCGATTGCATCAACAACATTTCAAAATGAAGATCAAGTGAGCGTTTGGCTTTCTGCTCCACTGGAGGTTTCTGTCCTTCCTGGGCTTGCCTTAGGACATCTGGATTATGGTTTGACAGGTGTACTGCCTCAGGCAGACTCCTCAGCTGATGCTGTGCTCATCATGATCCCATGACCGAGTGTATTAAAAACAGATAATAAAACTAATAGTTTAGTTTAACTACTAGATTATCACCCACATGTAAAGCCACATTCTCACATGACCACTGAAGAATACTTAGGCAAAACAGCTAAAGTCAGTTGCTTAAGTTAAGGTATACTTAACGCTGTTTCTCTTCCTCAGAAGTATACTTTCATTTTGTATTATGTAGCTCAAATTAGTTGTAGCTTAGTACAAAGCTGCAAAGTAAATTTATTTAGGACTGCTTGACTCCTGAATGAAAATATCCATATGGTAGTTCATCATGCTTGCAGCTATGCATATTGAATTCACATATCCAATTGATTTGCTTTACCTCTCATAAGTTCTTATAAATGTTGAGGAATTATTCAGTAGTAGTATAAGACAGCATCTCATAATCAAGGATCAGGTAAATCAAAAGCATCTAGATGCAAAATGTTTTCATCACAGTCTTAATCTTATCTGCAAATGTAAGATTAGGCACATGGATTGCACATGGATTATTTTTTTTAACACAGAAGGTACCATTGCCCTGACAGTGCTGTGTGATGTTGCCCTTAAACTGGAAAAAAAAAACAAACCAACCCTCCCGCCCAAAAAAACCCCAACCAAAAAATGACCTACACCAAACCCAAGGCCCAGACAAAAATCCCTCCTCAGTTTACAAGTAAACATATATAATTTAGATATAATCTTATGTTCAGCCTTATTAATTGATATCTCAGAAACTTGATAGGGTAAAATGTACTTTTTTTTTCCTTTTTTCTTTTTTTTTGCACATATTAAAGTTCCTGTAGATTGAACAGTTACTTTAGTCTTCAAAAACTTCCCAAAATAAGATGATCTAGGAATAACATCTTAGTAATCCTTGGGGATTTCAGAGGTTTTGTACTGTTCCACTATTTCCCCAACTTTCTGAATAAAAGTACTCCTCAAGTATGACTTTCTCTCATTCTCCCTACATGATTCCATGGAGGAGGGGAAATGAAAGCTGAAAAAGCTAGACTTAGTACTTTATTCCTGTAATGATTTCAATTTTAAATCCTCGCTAGTTCAGGGAATAGTATGCCATAACTTTAATAAAACCACTGTGATATTAATGATGGAAACAGACTGAGAGGTGGGGTGAACTGCTGTCTGCATGAGATGCAGCTGTGGCCTCTTTTAAAAATTTAGAGTTTTATGGTGGCCATTGCAATACGGATACTTTTCATCTAGATTGGTGAGCTTAGTCCTCTGGTTTGCTGGTGTGACAGATTTGTGTTCAGTGGGTTTTACAGATCTCTTCAGTATGTGGTCTTGGCAGATCTCTAAAAACAGAACATCTTCTGATAACACATTCTTTTGAACTGATTTTCTAATACTTGTTTTGTTGAATAAGTAGAATGGTTTCAATCCTGATCCATGTGCCAGAAAAGTGAAGTTAGAAAAAGGGTAGCTTTGTTCCAATATGCTAATAACTTGAACAAATGCTAAATATTTTAATCTTTTTTATGAGAGCACTCTACGTCCATGAAATGGGGTGCTTAGGAGAGAAATACAGTTATTCTGGTTTTACAAGTCAACACGAAGATGCATAAGAATAGGTAGCTATTATTAAAACCTGATATTGTAGAATTGCATATAGTCTGTTTCATGCAGTAGCAGTATGAAGTTAAAAAAAAAAGTTCAATATAGTAATTAAAGAATGCATCACTTTTAGCAATGTGGTTTCATTTTCAAATGTTATGTTTAATAGAAGAAAAATTCTGGTTTTACAAGTCAACACGAAGATGCATAAGAATAGGTAGCTATTATTAAAACCTGATATTGTAGAATTGCATATAGTCTGTTTCATGCAGTAGCAGTATGAAGTTAAAAAAAAAAGTTCAATATAGTAATTAAAGAATGCATCACTTTTAGCAATGTGGTTTCATTTTCAAATGTTATGTTTAATAGAAGAAAATAGCAACCTGAATGGCATTCCTGAATACATGCATAAAATATTCTAGATGTCTAAGTATTAGAAACTTCTAATTTTCATACTATGTCCTCCTTAGAAGACTATCATGATTAAGACTATACAGTAATAAATATGAAGGTCAAGATTCTTTTATGCTAAAATGAGACTGACTGATGCTTGGGTATGTGGAGAGTCTTCTTAAAAGAAAAGTACCGTTGAGGTTCTGAAGTTAGAAGCAGATAAATACTGAACCAGGAAGAGAATTAAAAAGGAGTATATGCATGAATGACCTCAAGATAAAAAAAAATAATTACGGAGAAGTAAAACTTCATTTCCTGGTCTTGAAATTATGATGGTATACAGAATCATAGAATAGTTTGGGTTGGAAGGGACCTTTAAAGGTCATCTAGTCCAACCCCCCTGCCGTGGGCAGGGACATCTTCAACTAGATCAGGTTGCTCAGAGCCCCGTCCAACCTGACCTGGAATGTTTCCAGGGATGGGGCATCCACCACCTCTCTGGGCAACCTGTGCCAGTGTTTCACCACCCTCAGCATAAAAAATTTCTCCCTTATATCTAGTCTACATCTACCCCCCTTTAGTTTAAAGCCATTCCTCCTTGTCCTTTTTCACTTTCATATAAGTGAAATCAGACATTCAAGTATGGAACCGCAAAGTTTGAAAGGCGATAGCTTGCAAGTTTTATTAGATGACTTTGGGTCTGGTATTTTTATTTAAAAATAAGAGCCCTTTGGAGTAAGAGAGATAAGATGAAATTCTATGGAAACATAAAAAAATATATTTCTGGTATATTAGAGGAATTACTACAAAGAAGTTGAACACTGACCTAACATTATTATCCTTTAAATGTTTATGCTTGTTTAGATAACATTTTATTTGGTTGGTTGGTAACACATTCTGTTTTGTTTGTTTGCTTGTTTAGGAAATGTATTTCTAAAGCATGGTTCAGATCTACGGATTATTCCCAGAGATCGAGTTGGGAGCTCTTAACGTCTACTGAAAGCTTTGGAATAAGTGACATTGCCATGCAGCAAAGGTCTATTTATTTTGGAACTCCAAAATGCAACTAATGAATTGGCCTTTTTTAAAGCTAGCAAAAATGACTTCCCAGGATTTTTTTTTTTTAAAACAAAGATAAGGTTTCATTTTCTTGTTAAAACATATTAACTCATGCACTGATTCTTCCTTGACTGGTAGAAGAACGGGCTGATTCCATGTTAGGTTCCTGAAAGAAAGATGGATTTCTCTATAAGTGTTACTGACACTGCAAGGGTAAACACACAGCCACGATCAATAAATATTTAAATTATTGGATATTGTTGAACCTACTTTGTGGAAGGGGGAACTGTGTTATGATTTTGTTACAAAGAAACTGTTCCTACTGAGTGCTAAAACTTTTTTCTTTTTTTTTTTTTTCTAAATTTACTTCCATGTTTAGAGGAACAGTTTTCACATAGTTCAAGTATTAAGCTCAAATAGAAGGGAAATTTCAGGGGTTTATTACTCAAATAAGTAAATAACTGCCAAATGTTCCAAAGTAATTGTAAGATTTAATTGCTGCAAATGTTTTAGATAAAGGAGAAAACAGAGGTTTCTATGTGTTAAAACTTCATTTGGCATATTGTGAAGTTAAATTCTCTGAAACTGCATTTAATTTATGAGACCTAATCTCGCGTGAAGTGCCATCAGCTGAGAAGGACTGCAGCGTAATTTGGGAACGTGTAGGTACTGGTCAAATATGTCATTCCTTTTTCAGTAAACTAATACTGGTTCTTTCCAAATGTCTTGTTTTGTTATTGCGTGTTACATGGGAAACAGCGTAGAATTCACTTAAATGTTTCTGTTCAGATTATATGCTTCTTGTTTATAAATTGCCAGGGGTAAACTATCAGTTGTGTATTTTAATTAGAGAAACTGCTGCTTTTCTTGAACTGGTAGTCTACTTTGTGATTTAATATATCTGGCAAAATCTTACCCTGTTGCATTTTTTTCTGTCCTGCTGAGTTCAACAGAAGGAACAATGGGCAATGTAGTGCTTGGTTAAATGAGTATTGTCACAAATACAACTGTCCCGTGCAATAATCATGCTCTAGAAAGATGTTCGGATAATGTGTCAGTGCAGAAGTACAAAATGCCCTTCTGAGTGGGTGTAAATTGAGTATATAGAGGAAAACTCTTCTGAAAGTGATACTTGACTATAAACATTTTCCAACTCTAAGATGAATTGTAAAATTCTGGATTTTCCTTTATTTTAATAAACAATTATATGAAAAAAGAACAAACTTTGTTCCTCTCTCATATTCTTAATTAGATTTTTGACAATAATTAAAATCTCTGCCCTTTAACCTTCTAATCAACATGCTTTGAGATTCATTTCAAGCCAAAAGATTCTTATTATGCAGAATTCTACAGAACACTGCCCTTAAAGGGCAGAGTGCATAGTTTCTATTAATCTAATGCCACAATATAATTAGGATGAGCCAAATTAATTGCTTGTAATTTTTGTCTGCAAATCTCTTGACTGAATACCTGAAAAACAACCTGATACTGGAATATAACAAACAGGAACCTTCCCCCCCCCCCGCCGTCTAAAGG